CATACTTTAATCATGCAGTGTACGACCGGGCGTACTTAGTGTAATTTACAAAAAAAGTTTGTAAACGGATCATATCCCATATATATATATATATATATATATATATATATATTTATATTTATATCAACAAAAAAATATTTTTGCAGTCACTGCAGATAAGTTATCTGTATTTACTTCCAAAACGACGTTGTTTTGGAATTGAAAGATCAAAAAATTATAATTATAAAGACTATAATAATCCTGAAATAAATTAAAATTACAAAAATACTATGATTTCCGTCCCAAAACGACGTCGTATTGAGCTTACTTCAGATGACTTATCTGCAGTAACTGCAGAAAAAAATGAACCCATATATCAAAACATGATTGTCTAAAATAACACAAAATCATGTCATTTAAAATAAAAAATTTTCATTCATATAATCAACTGATTAGACCAGTCCAATATGGATTGAGCTAAATCATACACGGTTGAAAGATGAAGACTTTGGGCTGTAAACAGTACTTCTTGGGCTTGAGACGTTCATTGTGTAAAATCATTCACGGTTGAAAGATGAAGACTTTGGGCTGTAAACAGTACTTCGTGGGCTTGAGACGTTCATTGTGTATGTGAAGGTTGGTGAATACTTCTGGCAATGGAAATGACTGGGGGTACTTGCAAAGAGACTCCGACGCATAAGTCAATATTAATGCTAGGTTTATGTTATGTTTAATGGGAATCAGATGATCATACATGGATTTGTAACCTTCATATTTATAGCAAGCTTTATGTTGCCTTTGTTATGTGACATGTCTTCTTATTGGTTGTTATGAGCTGCAGACTCATCTATTCTCATCTGGTGTCTTTTTGGTTATAAGTCTATATATTTGCATGTCTTCTTAGAGTGGTGGCAATCTAAAGCTGTCTTATATGTATTGATTTTTATGCGCAGTGGGTTTTAGCTATTAAAGAGTCTTTCCTAAACATTTAAGTTATACATAAGACGACTTAGCATAATTTGCATAATGCCTGCATCTCGATCTATGAGGCTATTGTGCCTCTTGAGCCTTTTCTGGATCTTAAACCTCATGGGCCTATGTAATTATCGAAATGATCAACCAAACTTTCCTTTTCTATATTGATATAATTTTCAAGGGAAATTTGCTATTGATCTTGGTCGCGGTCTATATCAGCAAGCCCTGAATTTAAGTCTTTTTCTTCCTTAATTGACTCAAAACTTTCTCATATGTGCATCTTTCACTTTATTGTGTCAGTCACTTACCCCAAGCATGTGAAAAAAAGAAGGAGGAAGTTTTGGTCCTCGTGATTCAATTTCTCACATCTAATCCTATGTTTATTTTTTCTTATCCAAAAATATCTTATTTGACTTCCATATTAAGTTTTTCATCTTTGGAGCATACAATATACTTTTTATTTGTCATGTAATATCACTAGAATGATAATTTTATGTTATTTGAAAAATGTTATTTGTCCTGTTTTCTCCTATACACTTGTACTCCGTTACTTTACCAAAAAAAATAAAATGAAATTCATTCTGACCATCCAAATTTTTAGTTAATAAGAGACCTTCTGGTACATAGAAGTATAATTTTTTGCAACGTGAATGCGGGTATATAAGGACACAAAATCTTCGAATTTACCCGATTGAAAATTTAAAAAAAATAAAAAAATAGTTTCCCTTTGAGTTTATGTCTTTATGATTATATGATATTTCTATATATGAAATTGAAATAATAATTTCGGTTTACCAAAAAAAAAAAAAAATTCGAAAAGAACAAGAAAACAAAAAGACTCTCTGAAATGTGAATGGTAAAATATCAGTTTTAGCATAAAATCAGAGCCACAAGATTAAAAATGGGACGGGAAAAGTTATTCATATAATGCACGTAAACACATACGTACACGCCTAAAGTCCACCAAAGTTTTTTATTTTTATTATTTTTTTTTTTTTTTAAAAAAACCTCATGAGAAGCCATCGAATGCACTAATTAATGGTTATTTCAAATCATCCAGAAGATTTACATCACCGTTGAAATTTGCTTTTCTGTTAATCATTTGGTATATTTGGCTAACATATAAAACAAAGAATTAATGGTGGTTATTATCCAACTCACACCATCTCAATTTTGGATTGTGGATCCCACTGCCACTGTTGTTGCCGGCTGCAGCCTTCCATTTATATAATAATTCAAAGTTAATGCTAATAGCTTGCTTTTTATAATACTTTAATATATATATATATATATATATATATATATATATATATATATATATATATATATATATATGATAAAATCATTTCTGCAGTCACTTTATGTACAACAACGACAGGTATATGGTTATGATTCACTCCATTTAATGCTTTCATTCTTTATATGATTATGATTCCCCGCATTTAATGCTTTCAAGTATATGTATAGCAAATATATAATTACTGCACGTACAGTAGCTGCATAAATATAAATCCCTATATATTATGCGATTTAACTTAACATTAATTCTTTTCTGACATGACATTGTGCCTACATTTATTCATAAGTATATATATCCATTGCAATTAATATAATAGTTAGCTTAAAATGGTTGAAAACAAGGTTTTAACTTCCAAAACTTTTGTTTTTTAAAAAATGATTCTGACTTTTATTTAATAAAATTTGGTTTCTGTAAGGGTGACAAAACATGCTATGATTCACAAGTCGATTCACAACACCGCACGTCAAAATACAGGTCGTGTTCACTCGTGAATAAAAAGAATTGTATGCAAATTTGGATAAATAACATAAATTAGAGTTATGCCGTGTCATGAGTTGACCCGTGTAACTCACGTGTAAACTAGTAAAATTTTATCTATAAAAAATTAAAAAAAAATTAAAATTTTAGTATTTTTACATATCCCATTACAAGTCACGCATCAACCCACATATTGTATCTTTTTCCTTTTATTTTTAATTTAAAAAAAATTATCAATTTTTGCAGATCAACCTTGACATGAACCTCACTTGCCTATACGTTTTGTCACCCCCTATCTGTAAGTATCACCTATATATTGAGTTAATTGTGCAAATGTTGAACCAATTGAAATTATTTAACTTTATTACATAATAGTTCTCTTTAAAAAAAAGGGTTTTATTAGTGTTATGTAACATAATGTAAGTGTTGTTTTCAACTCTCACATCAAAAGGGAGAGAGAAAGTAGAATGATGAAAGATAAAGAAAAACATGTGGACCCCATCTCTTTAATGTGTGTGTAGGAAAGTGAAGTTATATTATGTTAAATGATAAACATAAAACCCTTAAAAAAATTAAACCTCGTCCTTCCTTTTTGTTCTTTGATTTTGAAGAGAAGAAAAACCGTTTATTAAGATATTTTTTTTTTTGTAAATTTTTATTAAGATATTTTAAAAACAGAACCAGCAATCAAACCAAGAAAGTTTCAAATAATAATTTAATTAATTCAACTATTAAAAGAAGATATTTAAATCTAATTGAATTGAATAATACAATAAAACTAAAAATAATAATTTATTTACAGTCTAATTAACAAATTAAGTAGTTTGGTCCAATTTTAATTTCAAATAAATCTCCTTAACGAAATAAAAATCTTTAATTTTTTTTTTAGAATCAGTCAACGACTTCAATTTTAATAAAATATGTCTATAATATGTACCCATTAAAAAATAAATTAGACAATATATGTTTTATAATTTGTTCATACATAAATGTTACATAATATTAAATTAAGCAATAATATGCAATAAAACTGCAGAACGCATGGTGCCTTCATTAAAATCAAAGCATGGAATCTCTTATGAGCATGCTCCTTCTATTAAAGTACTTTATTTTTTGGTGATATCCAATTAAACATCTTATTTTTGTTTTAATAATGAATTAAAAACTTTAATTTTAATAAAATATATCTATAGTATCCACTAATTAAAATTAATTTAAACAACATACATTTTATGTTCTGATCACGAGAAATTATAATCTCATGTTATATAAGATTTTTCTCTCATGTTATTTTTACATAAAAAATGTGTCTCATTTTAAAAAATAAAAATAAAAATAAAATCAATAGACTCTATTTTATTTATCTTTTAATACAAGAGAACTTGTTTTCTACTGCATAAAAGAAATAAACCTCTTTTATCATGCACATAGGTTTTGGATATATTCTTTTATTATTAGCAAGTAGTTACAGGTTGACGTCAGAGTGGGTTATGTTTTTGATGGCCAAGACCATGCCAATATGTCATGCCAAAGGACCTTTTCTTTCAAAGACCTCTAATAAAATTAACATGATTTTATAATAATAATAATAACAATAATAATAATAATAGAATCATGATTATTATAAAATTTAAGGTGAAATATGTCTCTATCTAGCATTTAGGAAAAAAGGAATGCTAATGAAAATGGAAAGTGGGGCCACCAATCTATGATGGACGGTAAATGAGATGCCACGTGGACAATGATTTCACTGATCGTGGATGAATTTGGGAGATACAGCTATAGTGGCGGTGATGCTGATGCGTAGCCGACCCAACCTTGTTCCACTGCCAACATACAGACGCAAACAAGATCCAAAGTAGCGTAAGCGCCAAACACTTCAACTTCAACCCCTCCTTCTAATCCAACGGTTCTTATCTCTCCTCAGCCACCAATTTCAATCTCAACCCTTCATTACCACCCCTTAATTATTTAATCAACCCTTGTCCCAATAGTCTTAGCTTCTTCTATGTTGTTGAATTCTTAGTTGAAACCCGTTTACCCTTTCTCTCTCTCTCTCTCTCTCTCTCTCTGATTCCGCCATTATCGTTTTGAGAAGTGAATCCCAATACACTATTCACTCCACCATTGAGGCACATTACATTATTATTCATCACTTCCACAATGGTATATATACATATATGTTATATAATATATGATATGGTACCCTCTGATTTTTAATTTTTATTTTATTCTTGTTTTTGAATGTAAATTTTTTGTTTTTCTATCAATGGGTTTTGAGCAGGACACAACAACATTGGTGCCTCCATGGCTTGAGTCAATGCTAAAGACACCATTTTTCAATGTGTGTCGGACTCACGGTGATGCCGCGAGGAGCGAGTGTAACATGTTTTGCCTTGATTGCAATGGGGATGCATTTTGCTTTTATTGCCGTTCCTCAAGACACAAGGATCACCAAGTCATTCAGGTAATGCTTGTGTTCTTATGTTTGAATCTTATTAAGCTTTTGGACAATGGGTTTGTTCTTTTTTTTTTGTGTGATTTTTTTAAGGTAAGAATCATTCATGATTGAAATTTCTGTATCAAATAATGTTGATTTTTATTTTATCCTAAGTTAATTATCTGGTGTTGTTGTTATTGATTAGATAAGGAGATCTTCTTATCACGATGTGGTGAGGGTGGCGGAAATTCAGAAGGTTTTGGACATTAGTGGAGTACAGACATACGTGATCAACAGTGCCAGAGTTCTGTTTCTGAATGAGAGGCCTCAACCAAAATCTGGGAAAGGGGTAGCTCACATTTGTGAGATTTGTGGAAGAAGCCTCTTGGACCCTTTTCGCTTCTGTTCTTTAGGGTGTAAGGTGAGACATATTATTATTATTATTATTATTATTATTTCCCTCTCACAACATTGTTCATATCATTATGAGAATGAGCATAATTCACAGCTCAAATCACCCTCATCATATGGGGTATAACACCCACCACCCGTACATCATCACCTACATTTGAAAGCCCGTCAACATCATAATTATATATTCCCACCACTATTAATCATCATGTGTAAATCTAGCCTCTAAATGTAATCCCCCCCATTGACATTTTAATTCATTTATAATAACCTATAACAATATTGTTGATGTGTTTATATTGATAATTATTGAATAATAGATGGGAACATGGAATAATGTGTATAAAATAATCAAATATATGATTGGTCTTCTTTGATGGGTATTAATTTATTCTGTTGGCAATGACTGAATTAGCTTGTAGGAATAAAGAGAAATGGGGATGCAAGTTTTGTTTTTGATGCTAACAATGAGGCTTCAACAATGGAGGGTATGTCAAGGAGATCAATCTCTTCAAGACAAGAAGAAGAAGAAGAATTGCGTGAAGGCTCACAACAAGACATGTACCCGGCCACGCTTCCTCCACCTCCTTCAAACGCAAGGAGAAGGAAAGGCATTCCTCATAGGGCTCCTTTTGGCTCCTAATCATTGTTTTCTTCTTCCATCAAAATTGGTACATACTCAATATTCAAACCCCGTCACATTTTTTCTTTCTTTCTTTTGAAACAATTAACCCCACTTTGGGGAATCTCGTTGGCATAATTTTTTTTTTCCGTAAAAGAAAAAAAAAAAAACAAACAAACAAAGAATGGTAGGCTTTGGTGGAGGGTTTCATTTGTCCAATGACCATGAAATAGGAAAGTTAAAGAAAAGGAAAGGGTATATAGGAAAGTTCCTTCTTTTTGGGGTTTGGGGTCCCAAACCAACAAATTATCCCTTGTGAAGAACCAATAATGCATATTTGTTTAATATGCGATACTTGCGAGTGTATATGTCATTAAGAAATTAAAAGCTAGACTTTGTGGACTACGTTTTATAGTTTTCAATGGCCCACCATCCACATGGGCCTTTTACATGAAGTTAGCCACACCTTTTCACATTGTTTATATCATATATTATTCCCCGACCAAAAAATTATTTTCACATATCTTTTTCCGCTCTCTACTTTCTTTTATTCTTCCGTCGATATTTTGTCAGGGAAATTATGAAAATGGAAAGGGTAACAAATGTGAATCATTGATTGTCTTTATAATTACGTAGCGTCCTTTTCTTAAATTAATTAAAACAATGAGCCAAGGCAATTAGGTAGAGTAGATATGAATTGATGGCTACTCAAAAGTTTTCAATTCTCAAAACGCGCGTCATCCAAATTTAACCGTGGAGTAGGTACGCTAAGATATTTTAATTTTTATTAACATGCTGATGTTCCTCAATTAATTAGGATTTTGTTGTCATGATTTATTTATTTTTGTTAAAAGATTTTGTTGTTATGATTTAACTTTAACCATATTTATTGAACTTTAGATTAACGGGATTTGTATCGTTTGAAAAGAGGAATACACTTTGAAAAATAAAATATAAGGGTTATTTGCTTGCGGGAAAAGTAATATAGTAAAATTTTCATAATCATGATATGTTATTCAGACATACAATTTATAAAATTGTAAATTGTTAATTTTTTCATCAATGTCAACAGTGGATTTTACTTTCAAAAGTGGATAATTCATTTTAGAGTATTGAATACGAATTCAATATTCTACAGTCACATAAGAGTTCACCAACCCCATGGATCTTTTACGTAATTACAGCAAGTTTAAAGAAACATGTCTCGTCTCATTTTTCCCGAAGATTCATCTACAATATATCATATAGGGATTCGATTCTTTATGTTTCAATTTAATATAATCATGTTATACGTAATATTTTAATTTTTATTATTATTTTACGAGCATAATAAGTAAAAATTATGAATTATTTAACCATTGATTTGTGAATAGCTAATTGAGATCTTTTATATGATATAATAAGGTTAAATTGAGACATGAGATAATCTATTTCTTATCATCATATATGTATTTAAAAAATGACAATGTGTAAGAGCCACTGAATGAGAGGAGATGGAAACCCAAAAAGTTGTCTATCAATTGGTTTATGTTGGACATTGGGTAAGAGTCCTTTGGCAGGCCTTATTCAGGTTTGTGTAATCAACACATACTCACCACTTCCTTTTAGACTTCTTAACTAGCACCACATTGGAAAACCATATCATATACGGAATTTTCATGATAAAGCTGACTTCCAACAACTCTTTTATGTGCTCATCTATTGCTTGCTACCTTTCGGGTTCGATCTTCCTCTTCTTATGGAAGACTGGTTGGGCACCTGAGTAGACAGAGAGAGACTGCAACATAATTCAGGGTCAATACTTGGAATATCAGACTACTTCCTGGCGAACATATCATTGTTCTTCTTTAGGAAGGCCCTCAACTTTTCTCTGATGTCAAGTTTTAACCTCTTGCCTATCTTGGTGAATTGTTTCGGCTTCTCTCCTATAACAAGGTTCTCTAGCTCGCCCTCAAGCTTAGGTCTCGAAAATTGGTTGTCTACATGCATGCCTATCTCAACCATCATGATTGGTTTCTCCAAAGGTTTGACAGACTTGACTTTTCCTTCATACCAGATCCTGGGTGGTGAGGACGGGCCACCCTTATAGATCTGCATTATCTAATAGTAGCAAGTCTTGGATTCTTTTTGGTCTTCTTTGATAATAACTACCTTATTCTTGGACCCTACCAACTTCAAGGCCTGGTGCTTGGTGGAGACCAACATGTTCCACTTGTGAATGGTAGGTCATCCAATATTGGCATTGTAGGATGATGGGTAGTCTACCATATTGAAGCATACTTGACCAAACTTGAATGCGTCTTTGGTGCACAAGGTCAGCTTCAGGTCAATAAATCCCTTGGGCAGGGAACATTCGCTGTTAAATCCAATGAGCTTAGGCTTACAAGTCTTCAGGTCTTCTTTGTTCAGGTTCATCTTCTTGAAGGCGTCTCAGAGAAGGACGTCGACGGAGCTACTAGGATCAACCATGATTCTTCTCACCCTGCAATTGACTAGGTTGCCGGGGATAACTAGGGCATTCTCATGGCATGGGATGATAACTTATAGGTCCTCCTTGGTAAACTTGAGCTTAGGAGGCTCAAGCTTGTCTCCCCACTCCTTGAATACGGGCCTGTCACACACTAAAAGCACTTCCTTTAGGTATTTCCGTCATGCGTTGGCTGAGTCTCCAACTCCTCCAAAGGCACTATTATATTGCAGTCTAGCTCGGGCTCCTAGTACTCATTATTGCTAAGGGATGTAGACTTCCTAGTCTTGGACTTGTAGTTCTTAGCACGATCTTTCTTTTCATGGTCTTTGTCATCCTTAGCTTAGGCTTTTACTTTTGCTCTGGCTACGCCTTCTATGCTGATACTTGTTGTTCTTCCATCCTTGAGTGCGAATAACATACTGACGCAGCTTCCCATACCGAATAACTTTCTCAATAGCGTCTTTAAGATCTCAGCACTCATATGTGGTATGACCAAAATCGTCATGGAAAATGCAATGCTTAGTTCGGTCTATGTTACCTTTATAATAGATAGGTTTAGGTCCCTTAACTCAGCATAGCTTAGTCTAGGCAACTTCTCTCAAAATCTGAGATCTGCAAATGTTGAGAAGTATGTAGATCTCATCCTTTTCTTGTGAGAAGTGGTCTTCGGTACACCTAGGCCTGCGATCCGCTATCTTCTTTGATTTATGCCAATCTCCATCTCAGCCTTGTGGTGATGGAACATGGCAATGTGGGCTACGATCCTTAAGACTTATGAACATGGTATGCATTGCCTTTATCTCCTCCATGTCCACGTATTTTGCAGACCTTACCCTGAACTCCTCCAATGTGTTGATTGGGTTATTGTGAGACTTGGCTAGGAGGGATTCTTTATGGAGTTTGGCGATGACGAGGTGAAGGTGAATGTTCTTTGTCAAACATCAAATGTTCAACAACACATCCTTTAAATGGTCGAGGTACTCACAAAGTGGCTCGCCTTTCTTTTGCAGGAGTACACCTAAGATTGGGGAGGACATGAGGTGCACCTTACTGGTTGCGAAGTTAAGAAGAAATCTGTTAGCTAGATCCTGCAAACAATTGATGGAGTTCTAAGGCAGGGTTGTAAACTTTGTTCGGGCTGGCCCAATAAAGGTGGATGCAAATATCCTGACAATGATGGGATCTATGGCACCAGCTAGATACATTGCAATATTGACGGACTTTATGTGGGCATAGGATTGGGATCCATTATAATAGTTTAGGTCTGGCTTATGATAGCCTGATGGCATGATGAAGTCCATCACGCTAACCTGTGAATGGGTTGTCATTGTTAGTGCTCTGGCCATTCTGTTGTTGTTGATGGTCATTGGATAGTGCTTTAGCTTGGCTCCCTTTAGTTCATCCTTGACTATCAACACAACCTTATCCATCAACTCAACCATGTTCATCAGCGCATCCTTGTCGGTCTACTCCATCCTCCTGACGCTGAGCCTGGAAGCAGCATTCCATGTCATCTACTCGTTGCATTATCATAACCTAAATCGCCTGCATTGGACCAGGATTGTTCACTGCAGCCTGAGGGATGGTCTGGGTTTATGGGAGGAGAAGACTTTGCTTCACTGATGTGAACGTTATTCGTCCTTGCCTGGGTATGGCCAGGCTGCTACGAAGTGTGCAGACCATTCTGCAATAGATTCCCCTTTGTTTGATGGTTGGGTGTTGGTGGAGACTACGATGGCGACGGTGGTTGGTGGCTATTCACCATACTGCGCATGTTCACCATTGTGGGACGAGAATTGAAATTTAACAATTTTTACATACAGCGCCAGTGATCGATTTGGGAGGATCGGGAGTGTCTAATTGAAGGTTAGTATTTGTGTCTTGGATTAGTATGTTCGTGAGAGTCTATGGAAGAGATGTCACAAAGGGTAACAAATCACTACCCACATGAACAATGGCGTATATAGCCGAATGCATGAGGTATGTGCACAATGACAGTTAAGAGAGTAGAGAGTTCAGAGTGTGTACCTGAGAGACCTAATCCTTTATTTATAGAAATGGTTACTAGTAGGTGAAGAGTCTTGATAAGAGCTAGATTGTTGGAGGATAGAATAAATAGTCTTATCGTTTATCTCTTAGGAATAGGATAGTGGATCCCATATCTTATCGCTTTAACTTGCCATTTATCTTTAGTTAATTTTTCTACAAACTAAAACAATAAGAAAATTACAAATGTGTGTTAATTGAACTTATTGCGTTGGCATTTGTTTGGAAACCTCGAGAATGAAATGGTAAGCTACTTTGGCTAGAAAAGAGTTGATTATGCAAGTGGCATAGACAAGAGAACAACATGGGTAAAATATATAACAGCCTACTTTAAGACTTAGCAACGGGTCTTCCATGTTGTCCACTGTTCATCCTCGGTTGGATTTCGGAGTTATTATTACTGGGGTGTGTGGAAAATTCTGCAATTTGATAGCTGCCAAATTGCTTTAGGTTGTGGTTAAATATGAAAATAATGTTGCATCTAGAATGAACAATTGCAGAGATGTAAGTAAAAGTTGGTTTACATTTCTTTTTCAAATGGTGGTTTCAGTTAAGCTGGGTTCTGTTTGGTGGCAATGAAAATGAAGGATAAGATATTCCCAAGACTTTTCTCCACTATCAAACTGAGCAGGTGCACTTAATCATTTTACATGCAATAACAGTTATGCCTAGAACAAAATTTAACTCTCTTTTTCCATTTTCTCTCTAGTCTAACATAGCTAAAATACTAACTCAACCACTCGTATTACAAAAAATAAAATTTCTTCTAAACTCTAACCAGATGTAATTTTTGGGTTTGGGGCATTTAATCTCAATAGAATGGATTCAGAAAAACTTCTCAAAATCAATCACAGGAAAAATAAGTAAGCTAGTATATTATTATTATTTTTTCTTTTCCATCGTTCAAAAGAGTACAAGAGCCCCCCAAAACAAGAGTCCAATAAAAAAACTTTAGTTTAAAGTTAGCTAGTTAAGTTGGGAATACAATTAATAAAGAAGCCCAAACATACCAGGCCTGAGCACAAAGGCTCAATAAGTTTTCAAAAATTTTATTTTTATTGACTTGATTTTTTTTTTTTTCTATTTGAAAAAAGAATCAAACAATTTTTAAATTTATTGTAAAAGTGTTGACTGATAATCCTCAAAAACAATATCAAATTTATTCCCCTCACAATGAATTTTGACATTCTCAATTTCTAACTTTTGCAATTATAATCGCTTTTTTCTTTTAATCAAGTCCAATTTTTAAAATATATTAAATGAAAATAAAACCTAAACTGAAAGTACTTACCCTGCACACAATATATATATATATATATATATATATATATATATATATATATATATATATATATAGGAAAATCATTTTCTTATGTTATTGGAGATTGTTTTCTCATGTTGTGAGACATCGAAATCTATGCTATCTTTTTTTTATTTTTTATTTTTTTAACAAGTGGTGGGACCTATCACTTGATGTGTCTATAACATGAGAGATGTTATTTCATGTGACATGAGAAAAGAGAAACCCATATATATATATATATATATATATATATATATATTACTTTTTTATGTTTGAAGAGTAATTATTATTATTATAATGATGTTTGTTAAGTAATTATTATTACCATATTCAAAGAAAAGCCCATACTTAGGGTTGGGTAGCTCCAAAAAAAAAGAAAAGCCCATACTTATATGTTTTTGGTAATTGGTACTATATACAAGAAAATCAATTCTATAATTTCTAATTTTTTTCCCTTTTATTGCCTTTTAGATAATCCAAATTAGTAAATTATTTCTTGATCATAAAAAGGTGTGAACTAAAGTAATAAAAAAATATTTTAATTATTGTTAGCTTAAATTATAATCTCGGGCTTTAAAGTTTATAATTTTTTAAAATTTTAAATAAAAAATATTCAAAATTGAAAAAAGATACGTAATTAATTTGTTTAAATAAAATAAAATTAAAAACTACAAGAAATAATATACTTAAAATTTTTATTTAATTTTTAAAGTTAACTTTAATTAAATACAAAAGATTGTATAAGCCTCTCTTTATTTTCTTAGCTTATTGATCCAAGACAAGTGACGTTACTCAACAACCACCCACCACTCATTATCTATTATACTCATTAGATACCATTAAATTCAACAACACCACTACAAAGTTTACAACTAAGATGAACATGATGTCCAAATATCTAACCCTCAGTGTCCCTCATCATTCCACTACCCCTTTTCTCACCCCATCTTTAACCTTAAAAAATCCAAAGCTCTCTCACTCTCACACTCATCTTCCCTTGCCATCAAAACTGATAAATTCTATACCCAAGTGCCTCCCAATGAGATGTTCCAACTCTTTTGTCCCCATAACATCACCTGATTTGGAGTTTGAGCCTGATCCCACACTTACCAATGAAGATCTCAAGCCAACTACACCTAGCCAAAGGACATTTTCTGGCTTTGAAATGGCTTGCCTTTGGGTGGGACTTGTTGTTGGTGTCCCTTCCTATTACCTTGCTGGTAGCTTGGTTGAACTTGGGATGGCTTGGTGGCAAGGCATAGCAACTGTGGTTGTAGCCAACATGATCCTCTTAGTTCCATTAGTACTCACTGGCCATGCAGGCACCACTTATGGCATATCATTCCCAGTTCTTGCTAGATCCTCTTTTGGCATTTATGGTGCTCATATTCCCACTCTCCTAAGGGCCTTGGTTGGTTGTGGTTGGTATGGAATTGAGTCTTGGATAGGTGGAGAGGCAATTTTCCTTCTTTTGCCAAAATCAGTTAAAGAAACTTCATTTTCACAGACTCTACCTTGGCTTGGCACTTCCCCACTTGAATTTGCTTGTTTCATAGCCTTCTGGGTGGCTCAATTGGCCATTGTGTGGAAAGGAATTGATGGTATTAGAGAGCTTGAGAGGTACTCAGCTCCAATACTCATTGTCCTTACTTCCTGCCTCCTTATTTGGTCTTATGTTAAAGCTGGTGGCTTTGGTCACATGCTCTCCTTATCCTCTAAGCTCTCAAATTCAGAATTCTGGTCCATATTTTTCCCTTCTCTTACTGCCAATATAAGCTTTTGGGCTACTGTGGCTCTTAACATCCCTGATTTTACTAGATATGCTAAGAGCCAGAATGATCAAATTATTGGTCATGTTGGGCTTCCAATCTTTATGGGGGCATTCACATTTGTTGGTCTAGCAGTTACCTCATCTACAAAAGTGATATTTGGTGAAGTTATTTCCAACCCAATTCAACTACTTGGACAAATTGGTGGCCTTACAACAAGTATCCTTGCAATCCTTGGTATAAGCTTGGCTACAATCACCACCAATATTGCTGCTAATGTCGTAGCACCTGCAAATGCTCTTGTTAATCTCAACCCCACTTGGTTCACCTTTAGAAGAGGAGCTATTCTAACTGCACTACTTGGAATTGCATTCCAACCGTGGAGGCTTCTCAAGTCAAGTGAGAGCTTTGTTTATACTTGGTTAGTTGGATATTCTGCATTAGTTGGTCCTATTGGAGGGATTGTTCTAGCGGATTACTATCTAGTACAAAAAACAAATTTAACTATAAGTGATTTATACTCAAGGAATCCTGATGGGGCATACTATTATTCAGGGGGGTTTAATATGGCAGCAATTGTGGCTCTAGTTATTGGAATTTTACTAGTAGTTCCTGGTTTCTTGCAGAATGTTGGAATTGCAACTTCAATTCCTAACACTTTTGTTGTGATCTACAAAAATGCTTGGTTTATTAGCTTCTTTTCTGCTGGATTTTTATATTGGGTTCTGTCAAGTTTGAGAAGGAAACCAGATAAGTCTTCTGCTAGAGACCCCCTTTTGCCAGCCAAAAAGTAAATACAGAGGAGCTCATTGACCCTCCCTTAAATGTTTGTATAAACGTTGTACATTGGCATATATAAACTAACTTTCTATGATACTTCTTTTTGGAAGAAAGTTCCATACTGTATGATATTTGAATTATTAAAGATTCCGTCAATCATTTCAATGAGTGTTGTTTCCCTAATAATTATGTGTCATATTACACTAAAAAGTAGAGCAGGTTTGTTCATTTTCCTTTCAAATGAAGGGATCATATTACTGTTTAATATAACTCTTTGACAATCTTGTTGATATTCAGAGTAAGATTCTAAATTTCTGTCAATTGAGTGATGTATCTTGACATCTTAAGATCATGTTACTCTTTTGAAACTTTTGTCCTTTCAAGGTTTCGAGTTCCATTTCATTACCATAATGTTGAATCGAGCGCTTATCACTGGGCTAAAGATTATAGCTTTTAGTTAGGGCGCAACTCTTTCTACTTATCCCTATCAACTCAAGTGCTATGGTTCGATCCAACTCCGACCCCACACTAGACCTTGTCAAGGCAGGATGTTGGCTTCACCAATAGGTTTCTTAGTGATTAAAAAAGATCTCACTATTCGGTTATAAAGAGAATTTTTTTACACACGTTTTTCTTTATTTAAAATTTTATCATAGCTCCAATACATAAATGCAGAAGTTAAATGTCCTATAATATGCACTTTACATACCAAGATTTCATTCAATGAGCACACCACTATATTGCCTAAATAGAATTCTCAATTTTCTTGCCAAAATTCTGTTATGAAGTCTGGTATAGGGTCTCTGTTGAGAGAACTTAAGTGGCAATAAACTATAAAACCATTCCCTTTTTGTTGCATATTGTGTAGACAGTAAACATGTTACTGTTGTGAGTCCATTTCCTATTGTTATCATAATTAGTTCCCTGCTGGTCTGAGGCCTTTACTCCTGGAGAAATCTAATAAAATATGAACATGAAAAAAAAGGAGTAGGGAAAACTCCACTTGAACTCTCCTTCGTCTCGAACCTTGAGATACACCACCCCAAAAGCTAGCTCAAAGGGTGAGAGTGTTTAAGGGCAACCAATGTGAGACTATATATCTCAACAATCTCCATTAACATCAGGGGAACTGGATTTGGTGGTCGCTCATCAGGGGAACTTTAGATTTGTCTGTGTTTTTTTTTTTGGTTAGAAGATTGTTTTCTACCTCTTCGTTTTGATTTTTTGACTTTTCATTCCTCGAGGTTTACTGCATACCACACGTTTAAAATCGGCCATACACTTTATGGTAACTTTTTCTTTAAGCTGAAATTTACTTTACTATAAGTTAAAAAAAAAAAAAAACAGCTTTAAAAATAAAGCTATGGTTGCATAAAACTTTTAGATTAAATGTTATTTATTTTAAGAAAAAACACATATTTCAAAAAAAAAAGTATACAACTTAAAAAAATTTATCGTATGGGAGATTTTTTTTTCTCTTCTTTTTATAAATATAAGTCAAGCTAAATAAATTTTTACAAAAGTTCTTATAATAAAATAATTTTTTTTTAATAAAGAAAAAAGCCAAAAGCTTCTGCGAGTTTTTTTTAATTGTATTAATTTTTTTTAAAATGTGTGTTTTTTAAAATGAATAGCTTTTTAAGTAGCTTTTAAGCCAAATTTTTTATACAAACACCAAATAGTTTGTAGCTTTATTTTTAAAAATCTTTTTTTAGCTTTAGCATAAAAATAACTTTCAGCTTAAAAAAAAGGTAGCAAAGGAGTTTTTGACTTTTGATTTTTTTCTTTATTATATAAAAAAGCTCCTTTATTATAAGAACTTTTGAAAAATTTTGTTTGGCTTAGCTTCTACTAAAAAAGAAATCTAATCTCTATTTTATGTACTTATTTTCATGGAAAGAATCTGATAATTATATGGTGAACCATTGATCAAAGTTCTATACAATTGAACTTAGAGTCTATTTGGATGATTTTTTTTTTTTTTAAGTTTCCTTTTAAGGGAAAAAAAGGATTTTTCGGAAAAAATCTGTTTGGATGCCTATTTATAAAAAAAACAGAAGTCATAAAAAAGTCAAAAACTTGTTTTCTTTGTAAGCTAAAATTTTTAGCTTTTAAAAAAAAGTAGAAGTCAAAAGTCAAATATTTTTTTTAAAATCAAATATTTAAAAAAATCTAAATAACTTTAATTTTTATAAAAACGCTAATAAATTTTGGCTCTTTTGCTAGGTACTAAAGATTATAAATAGTATGTTAATGAATTCTCTTTAATCAAATAGAAATGACGAATTTGTTTTCCGCTTTATACACAAATCAGGAGGAAAGAGAAGTGTTTAATTCAGGTTCCTTGCTAAGTTATAAAATTCATTATAAAATTTATATCTCTGAGTGTTTTTGAAAATAATTCATCAATTTTTTTTAAATTTAATTTATCAAAATTTCAATGAGGCTAATTCGAGTAGGGATGTTTCATAATCGATTCAAACCGCCGTGACCGAATCAAAAAATCGATAACTGAATTAAATCAAAAATCAAAAATTGAATCTTTTTTGCATATTTTAATTGGATTAGATCGATTTTCGGTTTGGTTGGTGAAAATCGATCCAATCCAAACTGATCCAATGTATTATGTATTTATTATTTTTGAAAGATGATGACTTGGAATTAGAGGAGTTAATGAACCGAGCCGAGCTTTGGTCTTAAAAGGCTAAGTCTGTGTTTAAATGTGTCAGCCTGACCAAACTTATTATCTGTTATAAATATAATTACTGGCTTGTGACCTGATTTATTTACAAAAAATAAAAACTTGGTTTAACCTGTTTAAAAAAATAAGATAACAAAAATTTATCCAAACAGAATATACAATCAACAACGTAGTAATTCCATAAATATTCATAAATTTAATGTATATCCAAACAACATAATATAGAATAAAATCATTCAAAAAGTTTGTGTAACCAATAAAATGAGGTGAAATAGATTGAGGAAAAAGAAAGGGGTATTACAAGTAATATAAAAAAATAATAATATACTAAGCCTGCCTAAGAGGCTCTAAGGTCGAGTTTTTTAATTGGAGCCTGAGGCCTTTTTATTAAACGAGCTTTTATACAAATTCAAGCCTAGTGCCAACAACCAATTTCAGACATGTAAGCTCAGGTTTTCACGAGCCAAGCCAAATGCCCTTGGTTCGTTTAGCACTCCTTCTTGGAATCTCATTGTTTTGTAGACTTGAAATCATGGATGTTATTAATAGCAAACTATTTTGTTTTAATTTTTTTTATTGTCTATTAATCTATTTTAACTCTTCATGAGTTTTAAGACTTGTTTTAGTTTGAAGACTTGAATTTTCTAGTGGTTTGTAAATTTGAATGACTTTATTTTGATATAGCTAGTGATTTGTATGACTGAAATTTTAGGTTTTTCAAAAAAATCGAAAACCGGTCCAATCCAAATCTAATAAAATTGGATTGAATTTAAAAAAAAAATCTAAATCGAATGGATGATTAAATGATCAAATCGAAGTGGTTGGATCGAATGATTTTTGTTTGAAAATCAATCCAACCCAGACCGCGATTACCCCTAAATTTGAGCACACTATTGAATCCATTAAGGGTGACTCTCTGGCCCAACTTAGATTTTTTAGCTGAGGAGCTTGTATTTTTCCAGTAATAAAAGATGATTGTACGAAAAACCGGGACGGGACAAGATATTCTTAAATTGGTGTAAGAATAAGAAGTTTTATACTAAATATTAATCATCAATTTTCTTGCATCTAACTGCTTAAATATCTAATAAATCATAACCGTTAGATATAAATAAGATCAACGATCAAGATTAAGAATGTAACTTGCACTGTTATAAATTGATCCTGACCCTTTTATTATATAGACATTTTGTCTTGTCTTATAATGAAAATGGGAAATAAACCAAATAAATGGCCCAGACCCCATCCATAACATACATATATTAATGGATTAAAGACTTCTCATGTTATATAAGAAGAACTTTTTCTTTCTCACACACAACAAACATGTGGGTCCCATTGAAATTTTTTTTCTTTCTTTTTTTTTTAATGGGATCTACATGTTTGTTGTGTGTGTAGGAGAAGATATTCTCCTTGTGTAACATGAGAAGTCTTTAACCCTTAATTAATATATGAGAATTAATATGTGTTTATTAACATAATCATTTTATATGAGAGAACTTTTTAATTTGACCATCCATAAATAAATCAATGGTTACTTTTTTGCCACTCACTATCTCAATATTTTTTCTCTCTCATCTCTCATAAGATCTTCTCGTGTGATCTTATCATATTAAATTACACATGATATGATTATGTTAGAATACTTATATAATTTAAATATTATGAATAAGAAGTTGAGTGTGAAGAGGTGTGTTTTGTTGTTGTTGAATAGACATAACTACTCATTGTCGAACAAGCATGATTTTTCATCGTCGAACAGGGTGCATTCATTATTGCTAGTCATAGTTTATAAATATGAAAGAAAATCAAAAGAAACTCGTCACTTTTTCTGATTTCTTTCCTTTACCGAAACTTTGCTAAAACATTTGTTTTTTTTGAAATCTTTGTATTCATTCCGCATTTAGCCATTCACTCTATGCTATAGTTCAAACGAAGGTGGCATCCACATGTGCTGTATGTTTGAGAGTGCAATCAACAAATAGAGATAATCTGTTCTGTCATGGGAGACAATTGTCATTCACTCTTAGGCATTGTAGAAAGGGTGAATTGTCTTAAGACACAATGTTTAACAATAAACTCAAAATTTGTTATTTCATTTTATAATTAGTTTGCATCGTTTCTTTGTTCACCAATTTCATTATCGATTGCTTTGTTGCATCCGCTATTGAAACATAGATTTCTCTCATTTTCTATTTGTGTGCATGTGTCTGATGAGTCTCCAAATTACTATGTATTAATGGTCAATATGAGCATGAAATTGATTAAAAGTAATTAAAAGTTATGAGAAATATACTCAAATTATTATTTTATTTTCAATAATATTCTCGTAAGATTTCTTATATTTTGCAGTAAATTTCAACTCAATAAAGAGATAAATTGGAGAGATCGTTGCTTTGGATTTCTCAATCATTCAAGATCTTATCAAATCTTCGTTTGAATTTTTTTAGGAAAACTTTCCATTAAATAAAAAGGGAAAGAT